TTCAATCCTCCAAATACCAATTTTATACAATCCAGCTATCATCACGAGTGAAAAATATAAGATAACTCAAAAGTGATATCACATCTTGCATCGATAGCTTAGAGAAGGCTATTGTGTTTTTCTAATTTCCAATGTCTTGGTGTATATAAATATACTCGTTCAATAACAAGAACTCTCTGAGATCTATGAAGTAACGCAAGGGCGCAAGACCAGTAAAAAACTGCTTATTAGTAAATCAATAACTCATGATAACAAGGCAAAGAGTTTAAGATGAGAAAGCATATACATAACAATGAATACCTCAATATTTGGTACGAGGCAACAAAGTGCTGCATAGGTTACATACACAGCAAACCGGAAAACAATAACATAAGAATGTTAGGTGGCAAAAAATCCACAAGTTTGTAAAACCAACAGGAAAAAAAAAAATGTAAATATTACCTAGATGCCAAACATATGGGTATAAAATGCTTTTATTTTAGGAATTAATTATGTGCTCAACGACATTCAAATATGTACAGAACACCCAAATGTATGCTGCTTCAGGAGATTTCAAAGATTGTAATTATTAATTGATGCACTTCTTAATGATATATTTCAGCTAACTGCAACTACTGAATTATATCATTTATAAAAAAAATAACCATTATAGATAGATGCAATAGTATAATAGAGATTAGGACGTTTGAATAATGGTTAAATAATAGCATTATTTAGGAAAGAAAAAGTGGGGAAAAACCTTTTATTAGGAAATTAAGCCAACGCGCCGGCCAAAGGTGTCGTAATACCCTTACTGTGAAATCAGCTTCACATCGATTGCATCGCAAATTTATAGAAAGTACTTGAGCATCCGCGGAATTTATGAAACGTTCCTGGGCATTGGATTCGGTTTTCGGATTTTTTCGGTACATGTTGGAGATATTATTTGAAGCAACGCAAGAAAAATATAGTGTTGTTTTGGTAATATCGATCGAGTAGATTTTTTCTTTTTGTTTTAAAGAGGTCCTTCCCAACGCATTGAAACTTTTTGGGCGGTGCGTCGAGGATATTGAGAGCAAGAGCTAGGCATTCAATTATTACTGAAAGGGGGAGTTTTGTTTAGGGCAAGTCAATGGTGCCGTTCTCTCATGACTTCTGTCCAGAATTAAAAGTTTTAATACCCTGTAGAAGTTGGATCGCGTGATGATATGGAATCGTCTGGTACAAACCTCCTGACCTTTCGAATTACAAACTGAAGGATTTTGGGTGTTTGCTGTACGCAAGGGATACCGTGCCGATCAGTGAAATGTTTTATTTTTAAATGCTTTGCATAATTACGATTATTTATAACTTCACTTAGGTCCATTAATTTAATAAATGGTGAAGAAACAGTTGATTATACTCATAGTTCGTGGTGCAGACTCTTTTTTTTTATCAAACTATTAACATCTTATATTTTATTTACGAAAATTTTTGGAATTTTCAATCTTGATCGACAAAATATGTCTACTTAATCAAGTACTAAACTCAAGAATACCTATTTGCTTTCCACAAAATCGAGAATAAAGGTGGCCTACAAAAATATTGGGGCGTTCGTTCTGACTTCTACCCAAAAAATATCAAAATAACCAGGTTTTATGGGGCAAACTTTAGTAGGCCACCTCTTTTTTTCGATTTCTCAATTAAATTATCTTAGGACTCAAATGGAAAGAAAATAAGAATTCGTGAATATTTAGTACTTTATTAAATTAATTAATTCAATGAGAAAACGCACCGCTTTTGAGAATTTTCGTAAATAAAAATTTTGTAGATTAAGATAAGATGAAGAATTCATAAGTTTATGTTAATAATTTGATAAAAAGAGTCTGTAACATGGTCTAATAATATGGTTCGGGTTTCAGTCATAATGTTTCTCTTGAAATGAAACAAGGAGACGGATTGGCGTCAACTATATTTTTTTTTTAAATTTACTCATCTTCAATTTACAATACACCAAAAATCTGATATTATTTCGCTACTGATAATTTTCCTTTAATTGATAAAAATCAGAATATATACATAAATTAACCGTGAGATATACTTCTTTGTAAATCTTGATGTCTACTATCAACCTTTTAAATATTTGTATATATTTAAAGTATATATATACATATACACAAAATATACCTAATATTAACTAATTTAATATAACGTCATTTCCTAAAATATTTGAAATTTTCACTGAAAGCTTCGAAAAATTTTTCTTATAAAAGAAATTCGATTGTATATACTGAATATTTTTCTTATCTTAATGCTGGTAATTAAGACAGAATCTATTTTCTTAAAAGAAAATAAATGCAAAAGAAATAACAATAATATAAATGTGAACCATAAATAAACTTTAATATCAAGTTTACATCCCCTCATGGTCTTCGGAATTTTCTCCAATAGCCTTAATTCAAGCGTTAAAGTTTCCTGAAAGAGTTCATCCTCTGCAATTGGACCTCTCAAAATTCAGAAGGATGTTCAAAATGGCATCCTAATCTTCTAGTTCGTTTCAAGTTGTCAATTTCGAGTTTTATGAAATATGTATAAATTCAAGAATTCCATTGTATTTGGGAATATAATATTAAATGATACAGAAAATATGCTGTGTTTATAAATATTTTCTAAGAAATGTGCATTTTAATTCAATCTGACTCGAGTTTTTAAATTATTTAATGTTCCAGTATATTTTCCTTCAACACAATACTTCTTCATTCTTAGATAATTACCAAAATATTTCATGGCATTAAGATACTGGACACATGACGTATACCTGATTGGCATGAGTCATATCTCTACATATCAGCAAACTATTTTAAGAGGGGATGAAAAGTATCTTATCGGACAACAATATAATGCTGCCCTTGTATTATATTCCGATAATTTAACTAAATAATATAACTATTAAAGGCGTTAATAATGTGAAATTAGCTTATAAATAATTAATTGTTAATAATAAATTAATTATTTAATTAAATAAATACTTTTTAATTAAATACATTGTGAAGAATGAAATTAACTATACTTTTTGTAATAATTAATTGTAATAAATAAAGATGTTAATTGTAGAAATTAATTTTTGTATTAAAGTTACAAAATAATTTTTTTATGTAGGTTATATACGAAATGATGAATTAAATTATTGATTTTGGCAATAGATCTCTTCGTTTTGGAATAAGCTGAAACTAATTAAGTATTGACAAGTATACTAGTAATTCGAATATTATTTACAAAAACTATATATTCTTTCCATTTCGGATAAAATTAATTTGAAAAAAAATAAAATGTATACCTGGAAATCTATTTAAATAATATATAACAGGAAAATTTAATTTAATGTTTCAAACAAAATATTTAGAACCCCTTTTGCTCATTTCACGTTTAAAATAATAGTAAAGGAGTATCGGAAATTCTTAAATAATTAGAATGATTAATTTTTAAAAAACTTTCATAAACGAAAACGAAGTGAAAAAAAATTAAATGTACGAAGAATAATTTACAAATTTAATAAATAATTACCTATGTACTCATCAAAAACATATAGATTGAAATATTATAATTGTTTTAAATATTTAAACAGTTTTAATTATTTGTATAAATTTAAAAAAAAAATTCAATTTATAGCAACTATTTATAATTTAATATTTAATTATAATACACTTTTATTAATTTATTTGTTGGGGGTATCAAATGCCTAAAGAAGAATAAATTTCACATTTTAATCTTTTTTTAATTAGCTCATAGTCGAACCCTTCGATTCTCAATGAAATTAAAATACTGAATAAGCAAATATTATTGAACTATTGTTATATGAGAAAAATAGTTAATTACAATAAAAATAATAGGTTAAAAATAACACAGAGCGAAGTAGTTAAAATATGTACCTTAATGGCTCCCGGCAGGTAAGCTAAAATGCCACACGAAAAATACACCAACATGGCCACAAGTCTATCTAGTGTGAATAATTTAATAATAATTTACAGAGTATAAAATTAATTATTTATGTGCTCATGAAAACCATGATTTAAATATTACATTTTTTTAATATTATTTAAATAATTTTAATTGTTTTTATAACTTACAAAAAATAATTCAATTTATTGCAACTAACTGTAATTTAATGTTAATTAATAGTATATATATACATACATATTTAAAAAATTTTATTTGGGAGTGTATGAAATGCCTAAAGAAGTTTAAATTGCATATTTAAATATTTTCTTAATTAACTTGTAATTGACTCATTCGTTTCTCAATGAAACTAAAATTAACACAATGAAATTAAAATTAACACAAAGAAACTAAAATACTGACGAAGCAAATATTAGTGAATAATTGTTGTAGGAGAAAAATAAGCTAAGAAAAAAGATTAATTACAATTAAATTAATAGGTGAAAAATAACAAAGAGCGAAGTAGTTAAAATATATATCTTAATGGCTTTCGGCAGGCAAGCTAAAATGCCACACGAAAAATGTACCAACATGGCCGCATGTATGTCTTCGAAGGACAGCTTGTTGCAAGTATCATTGTAATATCGTTATAGGAGAAAAATATGTGAAGAAAAACGATTAATTATAATAAAAATAATAGGTGAAAAATAACCGCGAAGTAGTTATTTTATAGTACTTAATATAAAAGTTACAAAACTTATTTTTCAAACTAAATATTACTTAAGAATTGGAAATGTTAGTTAAGAAAAATAAATAGTATTTTTTTTTTAATTATAAATTGATGTTCAGTTCAAGTGTGAATAATTTTTAATATATTAATTAAATGTTTAAGATAATTTATAATTATTTTTATTTATTAATTAGCATATGTCATGGTTGCGCACATGTGAGTATGTTTGTAGACCTAAAACACTTATTCACCTATCCCGTTTTAATAATTAATAATAATTGCAAGCTAATTAAATCAACTGAATCGTCTAGTTAATAAACCCTTTTATAAGAATAAAATCAATAATAAATAATAGATGCAATATAAAAAAACTTACATATGAATATGAGAGTGCCTGACGATGCGTACTCCAAGAGTGACCAGAGAGTAGTGAGCGGACTGTGCAAACTGAAATAGACAATGCTTCATGCAAAAGGCTGTGACTAGTAACGGTGCATTTGGGACCAGGTAAGTGTGTGGGCTCATGTGTGCCACGTGACATATGCACTTTCAAGGGATTAACTTCCCAAATTCTGTTCTGGGTAGGTTAAGCATTGTTTTCAGGTAGTTTGGGAGAGACGGTAATTATCTTTGTCTCCAGTTCTAAAATATTCCAAATGAAAGATTCATCAAGCAAGAAAGATATCTTCTATTGTGTAGGATCTCGTAACAAAGAACAGAAAAATATCGATGGCGAATCATTGGTGAAAATCGATTATTAAATATTTTTTTTGAAAATAAGAATCGAGTATATGTTAACATATGAGTACTGATTTCTTCATAACTTAAATTAATGTTGATCTTAAGATGAGGTACATTTTCAACAACGAAAACGAGAACAAATACTATTCTCGCAGTATGATGGAATGGACCATAGGCGTAGACTACGGTGAGGGGCTAATAGAGGGAGGGATCGCCCCCAAAAAAAATCTTGAGGGAGCGAGAATATAGTTTCGTCCCATTCCCTCCAATAATTTGTAGCAAATAAAAAAAAAATTGATGTACAAATAAGATTCATGAACGAATATGTAAACTAAAATCGATTAAGGAAATTCGATTAGCTGGCTAGGTTAAGGCATATTATTTAAATTTGCATTTAAACTTAGGGATAATTATACAAAACTATTTCCTAAGATTTTATGATTCATCCACCTCTCATTTGTAAACCTTAGTTTCCAAGTGATTTTCTTATAAATTTTCTACGATAAAGTAGGAAAAATATATTTAATAAGTATATGTACAAATATATTTTATAGAGAATATTTTTATATTCATTTTACGTAACTGATTAGACTGTGAAAACATTATAGTTTTTGAAAAATATTTTTCAGTTTTTTAACATTATTCATTTTTAGCGGAAAAATTTATAGAAATGTGCTTATTTTATTAAGGCTGACCCCTTTCTGCCATGTTTGATATATACAAATTATAATAAATACAACTGTTTTGTTCAGAGATTTTTAAGTATATCCATAAGCACGTAAAAAAATTCTACAACTTCCATTTATATATATAAATTTATTTTTAAATATTAAATAATATATTTGCTCGTTTCACAATAATTACGTTGAATTTTACACATAATAAGAACTACTGCAATTTTATTTTTTTTTAGTCCTTCGCTCAGCCTCCCCTCAACCAAAATGGAAAGTCTATGGAATGGACTACATAAATCTTATAATGATAATTTCGAAAATCAAAAGAAGAGTTTCAATCCCTGCTCATATGTACAATGATATTGTTTTAACTCAACTTCGATTTAGAAACCAAAGCATTTTATAATACGTAGCCATTAATATATCAAAAACTTCTCCCCCTCCAAAAAAAAAAAAATTAAAATATAGCAGTTTATATTTATATGTTATTTAATGAATCATCTTCTAACCATGTTTTTCTTTTCTTTTAATTTTATATGATATTTTCTATTGTAACCTTAATTACATAAAGCTTACCTTAAAATTCAGTAAGCATCATTCTAAAGAATTATTGTGATTTTAGTATCATTGTTTCATTGAAAACTAATTTTAAGTCCAATAGTTGCGGAATAGCTACAAATACTTTTTCTTGAGTATAACTTATTTGTGAAAACTTGAAAATTAAAACAATGAAATATGATTTTCTTCAAATTTCAAAAGAATCTCTTGTTCTAATTAAATCCAAAACATTATAACTTATTGAAATACCTATTTGCCCTTATTCGTTTACTTTACGTTCTTAAGGTTTGAAAAAGTAAATTACAATAAAATAACATTTCATTATAATTATTTAAGTTTATGTAATCCAAAGTAATAAATAAATTTAATAATTAATTATAAAACTTGCATTAGTTGCTAAATTGTAACTAGCGCAAAAGTAAATAATTTTAAAGAAGAATAGTTTATAAAAAAAAAAGAAATTTAGCAGCAAAAAGTAGCAGAACACATAATTTCCATTATTCCACACAAAGTGTAACAATAAACTAAAAAAAAAATATAAATATCACAAACTTTTTAATCCGTTATCTTTTAACAATAAAAAACAAAATAAATAACAATTGTAAAGGAGATATTCATTACTGTACAATTATGTCTTAAAATATAGCTTAAGATACAGGAAAAAGGGGTTCAAATCAATTAACTTTGATATTATAAATTTATAATTTAAACATTCATTATTGTAAGGATACTAAGAAATTATGTTCAGGAATTCTAGTTCTACATATCACTAATACCTTAATAATAAAGCATATTGTATTTTTCAAAAACCAACAATAATAATATATTCCGTGGTACAGACCCCTTTTTATCGAATTATTAACATCCGCCTGAAACTTCGTAAATAGTTTAATCTCATCGTAACCTACAACTATTTTATTTACGAAAACTCTTGGATTTGGGGCGTTTTCAATTTTCAGCGGGACAAACTTTATCTATTTAATTAGGTACTAAAAACTCGTAAATACACATTTCCTTTCTACTTGAATCATAACGTAATTTGATCACAAAATCGATAAAAAAACTGGCCTACAAAATATTGGGCCGTTTGTCCCACATAACCTCGTTATTTTGAAAATTTGGTGGCGTAGGTCACGCCAAATGGCTCAATATTTTTGAAGGCCACTTTTTTTTATAGATTTTGTGATCAAATTATCTCACGATTCAAATAGGAAGCAAATGGGTATTTATGAGTTTTAGTACCTAATTAAAGACACAAAGTTTGCCCCTCTCCAGATTGAAAACGCCTCAATTCGAAGAGTTTTCATAAATAAAATAGTTGTAGGTTACAATGAGACGAAAATATTTACGAAGTTTCAGGCGGATGTTAATAATTCGATAAAAAGGAGTCTGAATCGCGGACTAATACATATTTTAACAAATTATTGTGATCGCGAAAAATTTCGATGGGAGGTTTCAATTCATAGAACGAAACATACCCAAAAAATTAACTTGTTTTAAATAAATTGTTTATGAATATGTATGACATTTATATATGAAATTAGTCAATTTCGTAATATCACTACCAAAGACAAATATTTCATTGTTTATCGATAATTATGAACGAACCTCTTTGTAACGCAGAATGAAGCATACAAGAAGTGCAATTAAATCATTTAATTATGAAATCCGTAATTTCATACATTTTAATGTATACATATAGAAAAAAAAATGCAAGGACAACAACATTATTCAATTATGAATGAATTCTATAGACTACAGTCTACAACTTATTGAATTGGGCTTAATGAATTCAATTCATGTAAAAGCTTAATTGGAAAATGAATCAATCGATAGCCTTTTAAATCAATTATAATTAGCAGAAAATTATAAAAATTATTAAAGTTTACTGTTATACAGATTTGTTGCAATATGATTTCGCAAATCAACAAGGCATGGTAAAATATACTGGGTTCACTAGTTTTTGTACATTTTTTAATATTCGCAGTTGGTTATTCATGGTTTTATAATGCATTAATCCCAGACAACTTACCGGTGTTAACATTGTATTTGATATAATAATGTGGTAGGATATGTTAGGACTGCACTATATACACTATATATATATTATAAGCTCTATAAATAAAGTAAAAAATGGGACTTAGGCACTACCCAGAGGAACACCAGCATAGTGAAATAAAGTTGAACCTCACTATATAGTGAATTTTTTATATTGAATAATATTTCAATACATCCAACAAAAAGTCACAATTACAAAAATATAAAAAGTGAATGCAATCTGAAAGAGCCATAAATAAAAAGTTGTAAAAAAAAAAAAAAAAAATATTCAATTTTTTATCAAGGTGTAATTGACCTATATTAAGAATATTAGTAAGAGAGAGCGGGACAAAAAGTTCGAATTTTTTAATTTTATTATTTTTTTTAAACATTTTATTGAGAAATATTACAATCTTTTTCAGTTAAGGACACTTATAATAGAGTTCAGAGAGTACATTCATACCATATATACAGAAAAATAAATAAATAAAGTAGTAACAAAAGAATAAGAAAAAAACAAACAAACAAAAAAATATATATATGTATACACATAAGTAAGTAAAAATAGAAATAATATTCTTCTTAATCTATGAACTTTTTCTCTTTGAGGACGTATCTACAAGCTGCAGAGTCATTTATATCTCAGTTTTCGTCAAATTTGGTAAACATCATAGACTGTTGACCGTGGTTTTGGCAAAATATAAAGTTCTTTAATTTCTGAAAGGGTATTCGCTAGCATACACCGATCAGGAGTTAATGATAAAATAATAAAAAAATAAAAAATATCTTTTTTCTCCATTCAAAACACCACCCGAGTTGGCTCCTGCTAGCATTTTTTCTTTTTCGCAAGTTAGAGCCCATATGGCAAATGTGCCAGAAATAGACAGTTTTCAACTCTCTAACAAGTAATAAGCTTCACACGCCCAAAATGAAGTGAAAAACACGAGTATATTTAGGAGATTGGTTTAAAATTTTGATTCATTAGTCTGTAGTTGGCCAATTTTCTCGTTTAAAACAGTAGAGAATTTTTTATATGAAAAAAACCTGTTGACCACAAAACCTGTGTGACTATTACCTGTTCAAAATACAACGTCAGATTTTCCTAAGTTTTTCATAAACAATAAACTAATTGACTGTATAGAAAAAACAAAATTAAACCTATTTTCAAAGATGCACTGTAGGAACTAACGTTTTGGTTCCCATCAGTGTTGAAAATTTATCTTAAAGTGTCTATTACCGGTACATTTACATCACAACATCTCAGTTTTCGAAAAAATTGGTAAAAATAATAGATTGTTGACCGTCGTTTTCGAATGTTACTTTAATTAATGATTCTATGCACACTTACATTCTTTAATTTCTTAAAGGGTATTTGCTTTAATTCACCGATCAGGAGTTAAAACAAAAAAAATCTATATTTTTTGCAAGTCAAAAGATCTCCCGAGTTTGCCCCTGCTACCATTTTTGTTGCAAGTTTGAGCCAATATGTGCAAGTTAAAAAATAAAAACTATTTTCACTTTTCACCATTCATTCCCACATATCATAACCCTGACTTCAGGACTATACCGACTACATGAAACCACTTCAAGGGAAATGAGAAATCTTTTCCTTTACATTTGAAGATTTTTTTTATCCTTTAAATGGATTTTTATGTTTTTTTGTTGAACACTACTTACGACAATTCATCCTCAGAAAAGGTTATTAGAAGGTTGATCGTGACTCAAATTTTCTTCATACTCGACTAAACAACTCCATAACTAATTTCCCACAAGGTAGAGGACAGATGATTACAATAATTTCGTTTTACAGCGCTATTAAAATTTAATTGCAAAATACAAACACACACTTACTCAAAGTGCTATAAAATTAATAATCTGTTGACATGGACGGCAGCTACACGACCTTCCCTGTTAATGAATTTT